TGTAGTATCTCCCTCCTTCAACACTATTGCTATTACTCTGATCTCGAATTTGACCACCAGGAGATTGAGATGTCTTCACAGGAAACGAAAACCCTTCTTCCATCGATTCTCCATCATCGCAATCGTCTTCTTCATTTAATCCACCTGTTCTGATTCCACCATCGGATTTGTCTCCGAGTCTTCTTCTAGGTCTAGGGTTTTTCCTAATTTTGGCGCTTTTTTCAAGCTCAAGAAGCCGTTTCCAGTAAATCACATCTAAACCTTCCTCATCGACAATAACTGCTTTGAGATTCCCATCGATTCTCACAAAATCCTCCGGGAAGAGAAAACCCCAAGGAGACGGAGGTGGAGGTAACGAATCAGAGCCGCTTTCGTATCGGACTCTTTCTTCTTCTCCTCTCTTTCCACGATCTGAGTTCCGACCACGGAGTTTGTCTTTGATTCGATTCCGTGAACTGCTACCGTTCTTACGGAAGAGGAAAGACATCACGGCGGCAGTTCTTTAACCGGAGATAGGAGATCTCACGCCGGGAAAACGGAGGTAGGAGAATCACGCGGCGGAGCTATAAAGAAAAGCAAGCGAGATCAGAAGGTTCTGATGGAAGGAAAAAAAGAGGGAAAGATTCAGAGAAAATGTGTGGAATGATTCGATGAACATGACAACCATTATTTCATTTCATGATTTAATGTCTTTTCTGTTTTTGGTAAATCCAAAATATTTAATTTAATCAGATACATATAATAAAAGGTGGTCCAATGTCAAAAGCGTGGCTGCTTTGACGAAAACAACCTCCACTATCAAGGTGCTAACACGCAGTCTAGACAAGGGTGTTTTTGTCATTTCGATAATCCGGACGCGTTGACCTGGTCTTTGGTTTTGGGTTTCAAATTGAGAATTTGTAAAGATGTTGTTATTTTGATATTTGACTTGTTTGATTCAAAAGTTGGGCTTACGCGTTGACTTATTTGTCTTTTTCTCCGTTGTTCAATCGGGCAGGATTTGAATGCAGATATGTTTTTCTGTTTTTTTAAATGCACACTTAATCCAATCCGGAAAATAAAATTTATAATGAACTAATTTATAACTGAAAAAAACAGATCAAACAATATTGTCTCAG